TATATATATATATATATATATATATATATATATATATATATATATATATATATATATATATATATTTACAGACTTGTTCATGCATGCATGTGCATGCATGCACAGTGCATTGAAATATCAAGGAAGGGGTTTGCTTGCTAATAGCGCTTCTCTTGTGCCTGTATGAAGCTACACGTGGGCAGTAAGAGTATAGTAATAAATATATAATTATTTTGCTTATTGTATATTACTATTATTATTATTATTATATTATGCAGTTTAATACTAAGAATTATAAACTTACTGTATATATTGCAATAGTATAATAATATATAAATAAGGAAACAAACTACTCTCTTCTGCAGCAGGAGAGACAGGGACCATTGGTTTTTTTTTCTTTGGCGGACAATTTTGAAAAAACAAAAGAAGGAGGTTTTAATAAAAAGAAGTAAAATAAACAGAAAGCAGAACAACATAGACGAACAGAGTCCTCCTTGCTAGGGGCCAAAATATGTTATTTCTTTGTCTACTTCATTATACTACTATATATATTATTATTCAAATAATAATATTTTTCTACTTTGTTATAGTCGCATAATATGTTATTTCTTTTATTTTTATTTTTCTTCTTTTCTGTTTCCCTCCCCCTTCTTGATTCTATTGACAAGCACAACAGCACATTACCTTTTTTCCTTTTTTTGGTGAGATATGATACAAACAACAACACACTAATTCTTTTGTACAGCACCATAATGACGTTTATTTCTTTTTCTTTTTCTTTTTTTCTTTTTTTTTCTATTACTTAGATATATTGACGTAGGCCCCCTGGGACTTCGCCAAAGTGGAGAAGTCCGCGAGCGTCATTTCCTTAACATCGAATTTTGTGGCGTTTGAAGGAACAATAGCCAAACTTTCAAATGAAGTTGCCGTCACCTTCTGCCCAACTTGTGCCTGGCTCAGCTGTACATACACCCCAGCAACCACAAAGTACACACAAGAAAAATTGTCAACAAAAAAAAACAGCAACTGCAGAGTTTTATATGCATAAACAACGCGCAAGTGCCTACATATATATATATATATATATATATATATATATATATATATATATATATATATATATATATATATA